CCAATATCACAAGTGCAGTTGCCACATTCACATTTAGGCATTGGCATAATCAATCTCTATTTCATCCTAACAAGCTTTTAAGCCCTTATATAATATGTAGGGATAGATGAACAATCTTGCCACATCTATAGCCATTGACCTTTAGAGTTCGTAAGCACGAGGGGCACTCCCTTTTTCAAATTGTTCTTCAAGGTCTACCTATATCTCACATGTGCTCTTTGCATTTGGCATGCTCACACGTACATCTTTGTCTATCGAGCTCTTCAACCATCCCTTCACTATGCATTGCATCACATCCACGAACTGAATTCAAGAGAGTTGACGAATGACATCGACAATATGTGCCGTCAACAAAACTGATTTTGTTCTTTGTGAATAGAGCGTTTGCATATCACTCACCCACTTCACATAGTTTCCTTCATTTAGGAGTTTACTAACATAGATTTGCCCGGGGTTGTCCGACAGGTGCAAGAAGTAAGGAGATGATGTGTCAATCCCACTCTTCCCATCAGATCTACTTTTACTTCATCTTTATTTGTCATGATTGAACGCAGGCGAAGGAGTCTCAAGACCTACACTCTAATACCATAACGATTTTAATAACGGTGGAATTTGTTTATTTGAGTATGCAAGTTATACAGGAGACTTTATATATACAACAGACTGCTTAGCGTAACTATCGCCTACATTATATCCCTCTATCTCTCAGAATCACACCACAATTAATATATACACACTAACAAATTAATATGAGATCCCAACAATCAAGCAATTCAGTCAAATATGATATTGTTTTAGATATTATGAGATATGAGATCAATTTGCTATGATGGGTCCTACCACGTGAAGCTCATGCATGCGTTCCTTTAGTGTTCATGTAGAAGTCCATTACGCTGATCATGCATGCATTCTTTTAAGAAGGAACTGATTATCAATATTATGAGCTATAAGGCTAGATAACTTGGATACCAAGGATCTCTCTCTCTCTCTCTCTCTCTCTCTCTATTTTAGGGGGGGTTGGGGGAAGGGATGCCTATGAGAATGAGCTTGCATCCTAATGCATACAGTGCTGCCCCATAACATTTAGGGGTTCAACTTCCCTCCTCTGCCCTCTGTCGAGGCAGTGGTAAATTTTAGTCATCTAGATTTAATTTTTTTTAATTTTTATTTTTAAAATAAAAATTATTAAAAAATTATAAATTTTTTAATAAATATATTTATTAATCTTACAGTTCATATTTAATATACGTGGTTCAAAATTAATATTAAAAATTTAAATTAAATTTTTAGATATATTTTAAATAATACTAATATATTCTGAATGGTATAGATATATTTTGAACATAGCAGTAAACTTATTAAAAAATTTTAATATGAAATTTAGACTGTTGATATTAAATATAGATTGTTAAATTGATAAACTTGTTTATTAATTTTTTAATATTTTATTTTTAAAATATAAATAAAAATAAAAAATAAAGAATTTAAATATGTACCGTTCAGATTAAATTTGAACGGCCCAAATTTATCTTTGTCTCAATGGAGGAAAAGCCAACTCCAAACATAAGATATCGGTGTAATCATGAATTGATATGAGTGGACTTTTTAAAATGAAACCATGCCTATATCTGACACGTACACATGTCAAGCGTTTATATTAGTAGAGCTAAATTCCTTCCCTTGTAGTGCAGATATGCCGTAACTTTTTTTTTTTTTTAATAAATAAAAGGGGTAGTTACTAAGTGCTTTCGGTTACAAGCAAAATTGGGCATACCATTTTTCATTTGTGAGAGGGGTTACATGTTATTAGTCTACAACCTATAAGACTATTAGTATTGGTGATATGCTGTAACTCTGTCGAAAGGCTTATTGCTCTCCCTTGGAAACCAATAAAATTGTAGGGCAGAAAAGGAAAAACACTGGAAAAAGCGACAAGCAAGGGCCTCTTACGATTGTTAATTACAATTATGAATCTTAAATTATTAAAATCTCAATAATTAATCTTAATCTTTACTTGCAATTAAAAGCATAAGTTCAAAAAAAAAGAAGGCACTATTAAATTACTATTATAAGTTGGAACTAATGTTAATCTCGACTAAAAAAATCAGGATCCACACTTAAAAATGAGATTAATAGTAGTCACAACTCATAATAATAATTTTAATAATTTCAACCCATAACATTTAGAATCTTGATTTTTCTTATTAAGATTAACAACAGTCCCAACTTATAGTAATTTCAATAGTTCTTTTTTTATTTTCCAAATAGTTTATCTATAAGCGACTTTGATAAATTTTTAAGTGATTATTGTATATCATAAGTGTATTTTGAATTTCTCACAAGTTTATTTTAGTTTCGTATTGGGAAACAATTCATTCCTAAGTGTGGTTCCTGATTTTTTAACTGAGATTAACAACAATTTCAGCTTATAATATTAATTTTAATAGTATTTTTTCTTGATTTTAAACTCATGTGTTTTTAATTTTATTTAAGGACCATGATCCATTATTGAAATTTCAATAATCAAGGTCCTTAGTTGTAATTAATAATCTTATAAAGTCTTTAATTGTCCTCTTTCCTAAAATATTTTAGGGAGGACAACAAAAAAATAACCTACCAACAAAGTACTCATAACAATAACAAGATTTAATCTCGTGACCTAGTAAATTATAAATTAAGTTTTTTATTAATTGAACTGACCTTTGTTAGTTGATAAGCACATATTTTATTGATAAATAATTATAGATTTTAGATTATATTTATCAATATTTTATACTTATTTAACTAATTTTTATGTATTTTTCTCTTATCATTCAATAACATAAAAAGAAATTTTTATTTTAAAATCTACTCATATCTCTTTCTTTATATTTTGCAAGAAAAATAATAAATTAGATAAAAGGAAGAAAGAGAGAAGAGACGAAAGGTCCTTGATTCTCTACTTTAAATATATATATATATATATATATATATATTTTATAAGTTCTTTTAATTTCTCTTAATTTTAAATTAAATATTTTATATTTATTTTATTTCAATTGAGCTTTTATAGTTTGATTCATTAAATTTTTTAACCTTTCAAATTTAAAAATCTTAATTTTTTTTAAGAAAAATAAAATAAAATAATTTTTTATTTTTATTAAAAGATTATACAGATTTAGAATTAATTACATAATTGCCATAACTTAAAGTTTATATAATTATGTTCTCTTTTAAAAAATTTTATACACATAAAATTTTCATAAAAAATTAATAAAAAATGTAAATACTGTATTAAATAAAATTTTATTTTTGGCCAAAAGTATTAAATAAAAAAATAAAATTTTCTATAAACTCCAAAGGGGCTTTTGGTTGGGAAAGTTAAAAATTCGTTACTAATATAAAATTTTAGGGATCAGTACAAAGATGAATTCTCATTGAGAATGGATTAAAGTTTATTTGCTTGTCTGACCAAAACAAAAGTTTATTTACTTGGTCGTCTATTTTTAGATATGAAGTCTCTTACAGTGCCGTTCCTACGCACGGGAGAATCTTCTACTTCAATCCGAAAAGTCGTCTGTTGACAGCGTGTTAGATAAAAATGGGTGGTCTTCCTATTTCCCCTCCAAAAAAAAAAAAAAAAAGGTCGTCTTCCTATGAGATGAAGCCTGAGAGGATACTTCGAGTGACGCAATAAACGCGTTAAGTGTGTGGCTGCGAATCCAAGAACCTGGAAGCAAATTACTCCTAAAATAATGTAAAATGTGGGTCATATTTGTTGTATTTTCTTTTACTTATTTATTAAAAACAAACTGAATAAATCATTTGTAAATTTTTTTAAAATAAAAAATATGAAAAATTGTAAATTTTTTTAATAAATATGTTTATCAATCTAATAATCCAGATTTAATATGAATAGTTTGAATTTAATATTAAAATTTTAATAAATTTTGTTCAAATATATCTACAGAATATATTTAAAAAGTTTATTTAAATTTTTAATATTAAATTTAAAATATTCATATTAAATTTAAATTTTTAAATTAATAAATATATTTATTAAAAATTTATGTATTTTTATTTTAAAAATATAAATTTAAAACAATAATTAAAAAATTAAATTTTGATCGTTTAGATTTTCCTTTGCCTCGGCAGAGGAGGCTTTCCTCCTGAGGAAAGCCGACTTCCTTCAGACATGTGTGTGCAGTTAAGGGTCAATATTTAATTATTTATGTGTTTGGGTGTAAAAATAAAAATACACTTTTTTGTATTTTTATTCAAATTTAAATTCTAATTACTATTTGCATTGAAAAATAAATTATAATTACTATTATTCAAACTTAAAAATTTAAAGTGTCAAATTTAGATGACTTTTTACTCTGTGTACTAATTTTTTTTATTGAGCTTAATTCACAACATTTCATTTGAAAAGTTTTAAAAGTTTGGATTAAATGTATTTTAAAAATAAAAATTACATAATTTACTCTATACTTTTTTTTGATCAAATTTACTTAATATTTTAATATCTTGTATGACATGCGTTTATTTTATTGATTATTTAATAAAGTACAACAAAACATACCAAAACAATGTAAATTAACCATTTCAACAATTCCAGGAAAAAGTTAAAAAAAAAAAAAACACACACATACACCCTCCCACACACAGAAAGAGAAGAATCAAGGTACTCAATATTCCCGTGCTCTTGCTTACTTTCTAGACTTCAAATAAAATACAAGGAAGCAGATTTTAAATTGAAAGATAAATAAAAGAAATAAATTAAATCCATCTCATCCACCGTGAGTCAACCAATAGTAAAATATGGTAAAAAAAAGAGACTAATATATATATTTTTTTAAATATATGGAGTGGAGACCGGAAAGAAATGGGAATCATCATCGACCAGAGTGGAAGAAAAATTAGGGAGGGATTTAACGATTTTTTTTTTTTTTTTGGGCAACAAGGGATTTAACGATTTTATAGCTCGACACACGACACATGAAATATAAAAAATATAAACTTTTCAAGACCCAGAACGCGGACGCCATGAAGACGAGTCTCGCTAAACTTGATTACGCCCTCTTCTTCCATTGCTCTCTAGTTCTCTGCTTCAACCTGGGCCTCCCACTAAGCAACACAAGAGTGTCAGTGAAAATTGGAGCTGTTCTTGATCTTTCCCAACCAATTGGGAACATTGGATTGAGCTGCATCAACATGGCTCTCACTGACTTTTATCTCTCTCACCCTCACCACAACACCAGGCTCCTCTTCATCGTCAGAGACTCTCACGGAGACGTCGTTACGGCTGCTGCTCATGGTTTTTTCTTTCTCTATCACTTTTCACCTTGTTTTTTTTTTCATTTGCTACTACCATCTGAAGTTGATATTTCTGCGACCCAAATCCTGAATTAATCACGGCCAAATTTTATACAGAGCCGGATTTCACAGCTCTGGTCCTAATCTTCATGAAAAGTCCAAAGTCATTCTGAAATTCAATTTTGAATGATTAATGAACAGCTGCAGGTCTAATAAAAACACAGGAAGTGGAAGCCATAATAGGACCAGTAACATAAATGGAGGCAGACTTTGTGATCAGTCTTGGAGCCAAAGCTCATGTATCCATAATAACATTTTCGGCAACGAGTCCTTCTCTTTCTTCACATCGGAGTCCATATTTCTTTCGAACTGCACAAGTCGATTCTGCTCAAGTAAACGCCATTGTTGCAATCCTGGAAGCTTTTGGGTGGAAAGAAGCAGTGCCCATCTACGTAAACAACGATTACGGGAAGGGGTTCCTACCCTTCTTAACTGATGCTCTGCAACAACGGTATGTTCGAATCCCATATCTGAGTGTCATTTCCCCAACAGCCACTGGTGAAGACATTAGAGGAGAGCTCTACAGGCTGATGACCTTGCAAACCAGAGTGTTCGTTGTTCATGTGTCTTCTGATCTGGGCTCTACTCTCTTCACCATGGCACAGCAGATCGGAATGATGACCGAGGGCTACGTTTGGATCTCAACAGATGGTTTGGCTAATGAGTTGAGCTCTTGGAATTCCTCTGTCATAGAATCAATGCAGGGTGTATTGGCAGTGAGGACCTATATTCCCAAATCAAAAGCACTGGACGATTTCAAAGTTCGATGGAAAAGAAAATTCGTACGAGACAATCCAGCTATGGTTGACACACACTTGAATGTTTTTGGAATATGGGCTTATGATGCGACCACCGCATTAGCCATGGCTGTCGAGAAGGTCGGAATCACCAAGCATGTGTTCCGCAAAAGTAATTCTTCATGCAACTTAAACGATCTTCAAAATCTTGGACTAGTTGTTTCATTAAATGGTGAAAATCTACGCCAAGCTTTATCCAACACTAGCTTCCAAGGCCTCAGTGGAGAATTCACTGTTGTTGATGGACAGTTGCAAGCACCAGCGTTTGAGATAATAAATGTGATTGGCAGTGGAGAGAAAAGGATCGGATTTTGGATCCCACAGAATGGATTAGTTGGAAGTTTGGATTCAAGAAATAAGGCCATGAATTCTCGGCCTAAAAGCAAAATAGCACCCGTTTTATGGCCAGGGGATACATATGTTATTCCAAAAGGTTGGGTCATTCCAACTAATGGCAAAAAAATGAGAATAGGAGTTCCAGTGAGAACTGATTATACTGAATTCGTAAAAGTAACTCGTGACCCAATCACCAATAGAATCGAGGTGACTGGGTTCTGCATAGACGTGTTCAAGGCTGTGTTAGAAGTGCTGCCTTATGCTTTGCCATATGAATTTATCCCTTTTGCAAAGGCCAATGGGGAATCCGCAGGAACGTACGATGAGTTGATCAGCCAAGTTTATTATGGGGTAATTCCCTTTGTCTTCTACTCCCCCCTTTCCTTTTTGCTTCTAGGTAGGGAAAGAGAATGGGAATAAAGATTTGATCGGCCTGTAATGTCGTGTTGAACAGAACTTCGATGCTGTGGTGGGTGATACAACAATTTTAGCGAACAGGTCCAAGTACGTGGATTTCACATTGCCCTATACGGAATCTGGGGTTACTATGATTGTTCCCATGAAATACGACAGAAAGAAGAATGCGTGGGCCTTCTTAAAGCCACTGACGTGGGAGCTTTGGGCAACAACTGGCTGTTCTTTTGTGTTTATTGGGTTTGTTGTGTGGGTGCTTGAGCACCGAATAAATGATAGTTTCCGAGGTCCTCCGTCACATCAGATTGGCACCTGCTTATGGTTTTCTTTCTCAACTATGGTATCTGCGCATCGTACGTAAACTTATTCATCTTTCAAATTTTCAAAACAATTTCAATTATCAAACTTGGCTAAAGTTTGAGTTATAGACTCCTCATACTCTCACAACTAATTTCATGATTTTTTACAGGAGAGAAATTGATGAGTAACTTGGGCAGATTTGTGGTGATAGTATGGATTTTCGTGGTTCTAATTCTGGTTCAAAGTTATACTGCAAGTCTGACATCACTGCTGACGGTGGAGCAGCTCCATCCAACAATTTCAGATGTGAATCAACTCATTATGAATAGATTGAATGTGGGCTGCAAGAATGGCTCTTTTGAGGAAGAGATATTGAAGGGGTTGGGAGTTAAAGATTACCAATTCAAATTTTATAATTCAAGAAATGGCTGCAATGAGCTTCTCACAAAGGGGAGTGAAAATGGAGGCATTGCCGCTGCTTTTGGAGAAATTCCTTATGTGAAACTTTTTCTCAAGACTTACTGCTCTAAGTATACCATGGTGGATCCCCAGTTTAAAACTGGGGGATTGGGCTTTGTAATCAGCTTATTCACATTTTTGTCTCTGGTGATATCTGTAAAAAATGCCATATGCTTTGCTGCTGTAATTTGTTAAAAGTTTGGTCTGATTTTGCAGGTTTTTCCAAAAGGTTCTCCTCTTGTAGCCGACATCTCGAGCGCAATATTAAATGTAACGCAGGGAGATAAAATGACAGCAATAGAGAATGCATGGTTCAAGAAAAATGGTTGCCCAGTGACTGGTGCCTCTGTTTCTTCTAATAGCTTGGGCCTTGAAAGTTTCTGGGGCTTATTTCTCATTGCAGGACTTGCTTCTCTGTTAGCACTCATCATCTTCGTGATCACATTCCTATATCAGCACCGCCACATCTGGTTAGGCGATGATCCCAATGCTTCGACGAGGAAGCGAATGGCTATCTTACTCAAAATTTTTTACCAGAGAGACAACGAGGCATTTCGTGCTATGAAGCGCAGTGACACGAGGAATAAAAGCAATGGTTTTGGGGCAAATGCAACGGAGACTTCCCTTGATACACATTGTCCAGCAAGTCCCTTCACTGAAACTGATTCCAACTCCTCTTTCAGCGGAGGCACACGAACGTTTTCCGCTGCAGATTATGGTCACGCTAATTCCAATGGCAATGCGGATGCTCCTCGGGTCACACAACATTGATCTTCCCCACCACTCCAGAGATAGACCCCGTAAACGACTCTTGAATCAGATATCAGCCAAGATGAGCTGTGCATGCATGGGTCTTATAGCCCATAGTAGTTATCATGAATCTTCCCCACCCCCCCCCCCTTTTTTTGTTTGGGGGGGGGGGTGCCTACGAGAACGATTATGCATCATAATGCATACAGTGCTGCCCCAAAACATTAGATTTTAGTGAAATCATAAATAGACATTCTAAAATTTAACCTATCCCTACATTTGACACATGCAATCATACACGTGCTAAACGTTTATATTAGTAGAACTATTGTTGTCTGTGGAAGAATTTACCTGGTGATTGCAAATTCCCTTCCCTTGTACTGCAGATATGCCCTAACTCTACTGAAAGGCTTCTTGCTCTCCCTTCGAAACTAATAAAATTACAGGGGAGGCGAGGAAAAGAATAACTTAGATCTATACACCTCAACTTACTAAACACTAGTGATGGAGGACGACATGATGCATTCATTACAAAACTTTCCTACTCTCTTTATTTATTTTATACACACATATCATAATTTACAAGGACATCACCGTAGGAATTGTTCAAGGCACTCCTTCAATTTCTGGAAAGTCACCGGCTTCGACACAAATGAGTCCATTCCGTTGGCGTAACACTCTTCCGCACTCTCTGACAAAGCATTTGCTGTCATCTGCGTCAACATCAGATGGTGAACGCTGTGACCAATTCACTTAACTAACTACTCACGAATTTTATCCTATACATATCCCTTACATGTAAGGGATTGCTGTCTTCTGGTTTAGAGGATAGTCAGATTAAGTGCTTACTGCTATAATTGGCATTCGCTTGGTGGAAGGTAAAGAGCATTCAGGTTTCTGCAAATCTGAAGTTGAAATGCTTGGCTCTATTCCAGCTTTTGTTGCAGCATCCCAATTGCCAGTTTCCTCAAAAGAGCGAATCAATTTTGTTGCTTCAAGACCATTCATAACTGGCATGCAAACATCCTGCAAATTTCAGCTACCGTAAGTATTCAAACAAAACATCTCATAGTCCTAGCGAGCATATTGCAGTTTCCAGAGGAAAAAATAAACAATGGAGGTTCCAGAAAGTACCATCAGAATGAGATGATAACCCCTGCGTTGAACTGCACGCACAGCTTCCACTCCATTATTCACCACATCTATGCTGTGACCTAACTGCTTCATCATCGAGCGTGCCACCATAACGTTGACGTTGTTATCTTCAACTAGAAGAATCTTAGGCTCTGATACTGCTGATATACTATTACTGCTACTACTAGTAACACATTGGGAAGTTCTATCATCCTTCTCTCGTGTCTCACTTGTTTGCTGGCTTTTGCTTGACTTTGTTGGCACACCAATTTCTCTGCTTGCTGGAACGTCTTGGAGCTGAGCATATGTGTTATCTTGACGCTGTTCGTCTCTGCTAACTACACCTTCCGTTTCTGTTTCTGGCTTATGACTCAATGAACTAGCTGATTCAGACATCTCTGGCGTGTCCGATAATGTCACTCGAATTGCATCTTCGACTGAAGTTGTTCCGTTTGAGATGATGTTGTTAGAGGGGAACAAGTAAGAATTGTCTGAAAACCCATTTAGGTTATGGGGTATTTTGAGACCAATTTTGCGGGGTAACAACTTTTGGGCTCTGGTAGATCCGTTGGAAGAAAAGAGCGAGCCCAGTGTACGTGGTTGGAATTGGAAAAATCCTTCTGTGGTATAATCAGACGCAGCGTCGTTGTTGTCCATATCTGAGAGCTCATCAGGGTCATCTGAATGATCACAAGCAATTGAAACCTTGTATGGGAGTATGAACGTAAATGTAGAACCACAGTGTTCTTTGCTCGACACAGTTAGACGACCACCCATTAATTCAACCTATTCCAATGTCATCACCGCCAAAAATAAATAAATAAAGACAGTCAAAGGACTGTTCATTTCAGTTTGGTCCGAGAAAGAAATACCAGTTGTTTGCATATTGCTAATCCTAGCCCTGTGCCACCATACTTTCGCGCGTGGTCTGCACTGACTTGCATGTACCTTTTAAATAAAGTAGAAATTGCATTTTCTGCCGCACAATAGATTGAGAAAACACGTGTAGAAAGAGTAAGTACCTTCCTTTCTGATAGAGATCAAATTCTTGTGCATTCGTTCAATGTGAGGTGAGTTTGATAAGATACCTGGTATTCCAATTCCAGTGTCGTATACATCGCAACGTATCCACACTGTAGTTTCAGTTGAATGAGGTTGCTCCTCTGTATATCCATTCCTTGAGCATTCGCTTTTAACAGGAGATCTACATTCATCACTCCCATGTTGAGACGACGATAAGTATTTCTCTTCTGTCAATACATTCACGGATGCATTTGAATTGTCTTCACTCGTCTTCTGGAGACCACCTTCCGATTTTCCAAAACTCGGTTCTGCTACAACGTAGAGATTTATGCCAACTTTACCTTCATGGGTAAACTTGATTGCATTGCTGCAAATTTGTGGGTCAAAAATCAATCGACAAGATAATTTGAAGTGTGTCATGATATCAAATCTAATACAAGTATTTTACGTGTCAGAGGTGAATAGAAAATTTTTGCATACAACTATAAATACCTTATAAGATTTGTGAGAATTTGCCGAATCCTTAAAACATCCCCAATGACCTGAAATAGTAATGGGTGACAAGAATATTAAAAGGCAATGTGAATATAGTAGAAGTCGTCTAGCATTGATCCATGATGGATTTTTTTGAAGGAAACTGAGATGAAAAGTGTGACATAAGATCGCACCTCAATAGGCACATCATCTGCTACATGACCTTCTAGGGTTAATATTTTCTGCAATGATGCTGCAGCAGTCTGGAGCACATGCCTTACTACCTCTCTTGGACGGAATTTGGCAGCTTCCAACTTCATTGCTCCTACATAGTCAAGGTCACCAATTCAAAATCACTTCTTGCATGAACAAAAACTTCAAACTTGCTCCAAGAATGCTTAAAAAATAGTGCTCATGTAAATTATACAAATATAAAATAGTACATAGGCAGTTTGCCAAAAAAAAAAGTACAAGGGCAGTTTTTCAGACCTGACTCAACCTTGGAAAGATCCAATATGTCATTTATAAGTTGTAGAACCAAGTCTCCTGAGGAAAGCATGACTTCCAAGAGCTGTCTTTGCTCCTTGTCAAGTTTTGTAGTAGAGAGAATTTCAGCCATGCTAACAACACCAGACAGTGGAGATCTTATTTCATGAGACATGGTTGCTAGCATTTGTTTTGCTCGCATAGTCTCCTCTATCCAAGGGAAAAAATAATAATAATCATCCTTGCTGCCAAATTTAGTTGAAGTAAAATTCAGAACTAATTTTTGAATGAGTGATCAAACCTGTAATGTGAATGGTCTTATTTAATTCAGTCTCCTTGGCTTTCTGAACGGCAATCTCTTCTCTAATCTGTGCCATCCTTTCTCTTTTTCTCACCTGTGTGTGATATTTCAAAAATATGAATGCCTTTCCTGCAACAAGAAGATTGCAAATATCTTTATAAGCAAAATAGAATCTACCTGATCTGTCACATCCATTCCCATGTAATTTATCCCAATTGTCTCTCCTGCCTTGCTAAAGACAGGTTCTACATAAATTAAGAATGTCTTTGACCCGAATAGTTCTGTCTCAAAAGTAATTTCCCTTTTTGCAGGCAATCCTTTTTCCAAGACCTCTCTCTTAAAATCTTGAGATTCCCTCACTCCAGATCCCGTGAAAATTTCCACATCTGTTCTTCCTATGATGTCCTGGAAAAGAGGAGTAGATTTAGAGTCAAAACATTTCATACTTTCGGGGGCATTTTTTGATCCAAAACAGTTGCAGTGAAATAAATCTTACACAAATGCTTTCAACAAGAAAAGTTTATTACCTCCTCTTGTAAACTTGGGAAATGATTATAGATGAAGCGATAGCGCAACTCTTTGTCCTGAAAGAAATAAAAAGAGAATAAACTCTTTGCAGCTTAGTAACCTGATATCAGGCAGAAGTTGATCATTAAAATAATGATGGACCCAAAAAATTTACAATGAAGAAGTTCTAGCGGAAGTATTCATTAAGTCTTGGCGCTGGTTTCACAGAGATGCAGTGTCTACCAATTCCAGAGCATTGCGCACGCACGCACGCACGCACACATCAATTTACTGACAAGTACCAACAATTTGTTATGGCACCAATGAAGGGTTTAGTTGCACAGTTGGCTTATTCTTTGTGAATAAAAACGCAATTTCAGTCCTTCCTGGGTCCCATGCACCTAGGTAGCACAGCAGCACATTGTGCAGGGTGTCAAAAAAGATATGGCTTCGCTAAGGTGAATTTGGTGCCACTTCATGAGATTATGAGTAATTATCATCATGTTGATTTAATTAATTTATGAAATAAATGCTAGTTCTAGCGCTGTTCAACGTAAAGGTTCTGAAAAATTCAGGAAAAGAATCAACATCATATAGGAATTTTGAATGAAGTCATAAACTAGGAATAGGGTAATTCTAGAAGTAGCAGCAGTGGCAGAAAAATCAACACAATACTCACTGGAATTTACCTGATGGCCTATGACAACAGGTGCATTCTGCAGAATAAAATGCAAGAAATTATCTGCTCTTTTCAGAATCTGGGACAGTTCTTCTACAGGCGAGGACTGCCTTTCAAGATTCTTTATGCTTTCTTCCAGCTTCTCCATAAGTGTCTGCTCTCTCTGTATACTTGCCTCCAACAGTTTTTCTAGATGCACTGCCCTCTGCTTCCAGTACACTGCAGTATCATACTCAGCATTTATTTCAATACCCTTGTTCTGGACAACAACATCGTTTTTCCTGCGAGGTATATCTTGCCATATGTCATAAACTTCATCCAATATAGAAACTGGCCGTTTATCATGCCCATATCTTATGTCCTCAAATCGATGCTCTTCCAATATCTTTAACTTCCTCAGCTCAACCTCCTGTCTCTGTTTAATAAGGTTGTCGAGTTCTTCTCTTAGGAGACGCACAGCATTAGCCTGCTTGTACTCCCAGTATTTCATGAGATAGGTCAACTGGGACGACCCTTTGTCTGTATAGTTGGTGAGCTCCATGAGACGCTTGAAATCCACTATAGTTGGCTCCTCCACTATTGTGACCTCCTCCAACATGTCCTGGTCACTTCCGGGCTTCTCTATGTTAAACTGTTTCCCAACATCAGTTCCAATATCTTCTGGCCACATTGAAGGGAGGACTTCGATGTCCATGTCCTCCATGAGGTCATGCTCCATCTCGCAAACCATGAAAACAGACCGATTACATCCAGTTGCTTTTGTGCAATCTACAATGAAGTCCCATTTGCATTTCTAGTCATCCAATTCTGACTCTTGGTTTTCCTTTCCGTATCCAACACAAGGCCCCAACAGAACAAATGGAGAAAATCTGCCTCGACCTGTTAGCCGAAGATGAGTTCCATGCAAGTTTGGCTCTCAACTGTGAAATAAAAGAAAGAGAATAGTTCGATCAAAAAAAAAAACAAAGAAAGAAAGAAAGAAAATGGTGTAGCGTGAATGAGGAGGCACTATATGAAAATATTAAGTGATGTTAAATTATTGTCGTTTCAGGACATGCCAAGCTGTCCAACGATAAGAAAAGGCAAATGAAAATAACACCTGTAAACTCTCAAGTAGCCAAAATTTCATAATTTAAACCGAAAGTCATCAGCAAGCAATTATGAAAACAGGACAGCTGTTCAAGAAATTTTAACAGGGAAACAGTGGGGAAAGAAATAGTTCAGAGCCAAAACGAAGAATGAATGAATGGAATCTATTTTTGACGAATCGATTGTGTTCGCAATTTAACAGGAGGTTTTGAATACAGGGGTGGCAAACGTGAAGCTCCAGATATTGAGAATACAGAAGATACAATTTGGGACTCGTACAGCCCCCTGACACTAAGCAAATATCAAACTCGAGCTAACTCTCAAAAATTTGGAGCTGATATACATTTTCATAAGAAACAGAAGAAATTAAGGCAAGTGACTCGCGGAACATAACAACGATCAATGACTCCGAGATCCATTCACCGAAACAAGCCAATAGAGCCAAGTGGAAAATGGGCTAAAATATCTCAAAAGAAATCATTTTGCGGACGATTGATTAAAAATCATGGCAGTGAATTGAAGAGGCCACCATGAAGCATACCTCTATGCTTCCAATGAGAAAAGCCAGCCACCACCGAAGACCCAGAAAGAAGAAGAATTTCTGATGACAGTGAGCAAATGGCTTTTTCCCGGCAGATCTGAAGAATCCCTTCAACTGTGGAGTCAGAAGCCTTGAGAGCAGAAAAAAAAAAACGGAGGTTACTGCTAGGAGAGAAAGAGAGAACAGAGCATGAGAGAGTGAAGGAAAAGGAAAACTAAAAAAAGAAAGGGGGGATTAAAATGGAGATGACAGATAACCAAGAAGCCATGTGCATGAGGAGGAAACAAAATGAGAGAGAATTGTCAGCCATTTGTCAGTTACATATATTTTAGTGGCCTGTGTGTGAAAAACAGCTTTCAGAGGCCCGGAGCTTCGTCTGGCATAACATCAGTTATAATGCTCCCCTTCTCTCCGAGAAACAGATTCAACCAATTATAAAATAGGCGAGAGAGAGAGAGAGAGAAGCTGAATTTTTACGGGAAGATGGAGGTTTTAAATGCCGAGGAAGCCATGGGTGTTGCCCGTGCATGGACACATGGGGAGGGTGATGCGCGTGTCCATCACGTGCCAGCTATTTTACTTGACGATGCATGCACTGGGACGTGAAAGAAGCAACGAGGCGGCTGCACGGATTCTTAGGAAACAAGGTTCTTAATTTGCGATCAGCTTCTCAATATTGGGATTAATCCAACGAGTAGTTTACGTGTCATATATATGTGGGTCGGTAACAACAACACTTGATAAATAAAACGCAGCTTTTTATTTTAATGCAGTCAAGTCTAAGCTAAACAGATCCGTCTACCTGCGTCAAATTGATTGGCTTCGCTTGTTTATTGACTCAGGAAGCAATGCGGATTCCCTGCTATTCACAGCTACAATTGGAACTGGTTTGGTGCTCGGCAAGCTGCGAGCATTGTGGTGCTCATCGTCCAGTAAAATCTAGATAGTTTAGATCAAAAATCTGAATGGCCCAAATTTTTTTGATTTTAATTTTAATTTTAATTTTATATTTTATAAAAATAAAATTTATAATTTTTTTATAAATATATCCATCATCAATCTGAACACTACTGATTCAATCTGAGATTTTGAGTAATTCAATTTAATATTATAATTATAATTTTTATAAACTGACTATCTAAATGTACTTTGAACAAGACAGATTCAATATTAAATTTTTTAATATTTTTATATTTTATTAAATTTTTATTATTTTTTATTTTAGTAAATATGAAATTAAAATTAAAATAAAAACTTTAAATCTAGACCTTACAGATAAAAATTTAATATTAAATTTGAATTGTTTAAAATATATTTAGATAGTTAATTTATAAAAATTATAACTTTAAATTGAACCATTCAAATTAAATCAGTATTGTTCAAATGAATATATTTATAAAAAAATTATAAATTTATTTTTATAAAATATAAAATTAAAATTAAAATTAAAAAAATCTGGATGGTCCAGATCTTGCTGGACGATGTGCACCACGGTGCTCAACAGCTTGCTGAGCACTGAAACCAGTTCCGCTACAATTCACTTATCTTCAAGATTAAATTCTCCCATTGTCCCCAAAAATAAAAAATAAAATAAATAAGTCTCCCAGTGAATATTATATTCTAGCTCGTAATAATCCTACTATACAACATCATTAACTTGTTCCTTCAAACTTTAAATATATTGGGAGCGACTTAATAACGCTCATGTGTTATTGCCACAAAATTCATGATTTCTGGATCTAGGACTAAAGTTGTCCTTGTTTAATTACGGTTGGAAAAATCTCAAAATGCATGCACACTTCTATTTAATTTGCATACATCACATGTGTGCAAACCAAAAATAAATACTAGTCTTATGTGGAGACATCAATAAGGGCCCGATGGGCGGGGTATCCTTTTAGCCCCATACTTCTCGAAGTTAGGCTTAAAAAAATTAGAGAATTTTAATGTAAAAGAGAATTTTAGGCCTCGTCTTTGTAAGCCCCTCTAAATTGCCCTATTGCATTATCAGCGAAAAGTTGAAAAAAAAAAATACTGAACTGTTCTTTGAATCATAAAATAACTGTTAAAATTAAATGAGAGACGAGAGGAAATTTTGTTAGAACTTAATTAGAACGACACTTGATATAAGACGGATGCAATATATGTTAAAATTTTCAGTGATGAAATTAACGGAACCGTTACTTTCCCAACGACGTTTTCGTTTCATGCCGGGGTGGTTTGGTTGGTTTGATGTAATAATCAAGGCGTATTGGGATATCTATAATATTTATTGAGTATCTTTAGGCTCCCAAAAGCAAGAGTGAGTTAAAAAAAAATAAACAGACAGAACAAATAATGAAATCACGAACTTCGTCAAAATAATATATATATATATATATATATTAGTTGGAGAAACATGGGCATGTAGGGAATACAAGAATGCGCAGAATGCCCAATTTGTTTATGTAAATGAACAACGAAGCCATATTCTGCTGTGCACAGTAATGCATGCCTAGCGATTCCCATGTGACGCCCTGCTGATTCGCCCTTTCCCACATCAAAACTGACCGCCACGTGGCATCCTTTCTTCTCCACACTTGGTCGCCCACCCTGCCTTCCATGGCATTGGCCCTGGCCTCGAGGCACTTCCGTGCTCGTCCCCTCTGAATTATATCGAGGTTAGTTAAAATTATATGGTTTAACTTTAATATTATTTTATTTTATATTTTTAATATATGTAAAATTTAAAATAAAAATAATCTCGTAATTATTGTTCTTCTTAATAATTGATTTTTAAACAAATATCAATTAAATGTTTTAAAGATAAACTTTAGAATTAGATTTGGAAGATTTCAGATATCATTTGCGAGAATAAGCACCGCTCATGGCTTGTATGAAAAGATGATTAATCATAAACCCCGTGAGTTACGTGGCCTTATCGCTTCCTTCTTCCCTTAAATGGAAAATCAAAAAAACGCTAGCTGCATTGCTTGTCGTTTTGTCAATCCTTTCAGGGGACCGGGTGTGTCAAAAGATGGATTAATATCAATGTGTTAAAAAGTCAAGGCCAACATTTCATAGGCAAAAAGTATATTTTATATTTAATTTTAAATTTTATATCATTGACATCTAAATTACTTGTAAAAAAAAAAAAGAGATCTAAATTTCATAAAAATCTAAAAAAACTTGTTAAATTCTTTCAACACACGGCAAAACATCATCCTAAATATGAAATATCATGCACTCATTTCGTACCAATATTTCGAGTTTGATAAAGCAACATGCCATCAATTTATTATTTTTCATTGTTAAAAGTAGTGAAGATAAATTGAAACCATATTTAAAAATTTTAAAAAAAGTACTTATGTTCCTGAGTCACAAATCCTAACAATAATACACTGTATAGACTTTAACATACAAGAAAAACAATGACTATGAGATGACTCTTCAAATGCCACTAACGAGTACAAGAATAACAAGTCAATTAATGGCAAAAAAAATTTCATAATAAAAATGCATGATTTAGAGAGAAATAAGGAAGAAAAGCAAGAAGATAAAGTAGAAGCCATTACTGAAAAGACGACATTATGATACATGACATCACCTTTTTTTAAATTATTTTTAACTTTATATTTTCCCCTATCACAAATACAAGACAACTTTTGAAACAAAAAATGTTTACAATAATTTATTTCATTTTCTAATTTTACTTCTTGTTTATTGTCATAGTTTATAAATTCATAAACAATAACGTATTATGGTTATTAATTCTAAAGAACAACAAAATTACAAGATTACATATTTTTAATAATTTTTAAAATAATACCTTTCAATAAATATAAAATTAATTAATAATCTATTTAGACAACTACATAAAAATTATATTTGAAATATATTTTTATTAAATTTAATAAATAATTAAATTTTTTAAATATATTTTTTATCAAATATAAAATGAAATCCAAGCCAACACTAAATTGGCGTTACATTAAGAATGCTAGAATAGGAGGAAGTACTAGGGTTAGATTGAGAAAAAGTAGACGAATGGACATCACGACCGACCAAAGAGGAATGGATATCACAGTGACGTCAGAATGGTGGGTGATTGGAAACGATGAGCCAATGAGGGAACAGCTCCTGGAGCATGGGTGATTGTTCCAGACAATCTCCTCAATGACCGGTCGATTGATCCTCATAATTTTTTTTTTCCCAAAGAAAAGTCAAGAGTTTATTTTAATAAAGTAAGAAAAGGTACAGTATAAAAGGTTACATGGACATAATGTTGAGGTTAAATCATGGAGAAAAACTAGAAATAAAAAATAAACACTGATTTAGCGAGGACTAAATGGCATATATCCTTCATTAATTTCATAGAAAAAACAAACTCGCTAATTAATAAGTGAATATCATTAAATTGAAATGCTTATTATATAAAAAATTAAATATATATTATTTAATTAGATGTATATATATATCAAATAATATATTAAACAAATACATGTTTATTATATTTTATTTTTAATTATTAACATCAAAAAATTAATTTTATATTTATATGACTCGTTATATTATATTTTTAATCAAATATTATATTTTTCAGGAAAATAAACTTAAAATAAAACAAATATTAAATATTAAATAATTTTATTATGAATATTTTAGTTAATTTTTAAAATTAATTCTTATTTTTAAAAATTAAAATATAATTAAAAGTCATTACTAATAGTTTATTTATTTATTTTTATAGTAATTAGCTAAGACTAGAATTCTTCACTAACACTTTTAATATTTCAATAGTTATCTTACCTTTAGAGAGGTATAAAAATGCTTATCTATATTTCTATCTAATTATCTTATTTTAAATAGAGATTGTCAGTCCTTGTTATTTTCTTTACCAATTTTTTTTTAGTTTAGAGATAGATTAATAGTTGAGAAAATTTGCTCAATAGCCTCAAAAAATACAACTTTCATAAATTATGGAGAAGTTTTTGAATATTTTGAAATATGGCCTATTCAAAAATAAATTAGATGTGTTTTTACTCCTTTGTCCTTAAATCCGTTCGATTATTTTTATTAAAATAGAATATAACTGATGTTATTTTTATCTAATTTTCTTTGATTTTATTTCTCCATCCAGACGGTTATTTTCACCATCTTCATCAGGGATCGCAAAACATAACTTATCATATAGTGCTTGCCTCTCTCTGTTTATCTTCTCTGTTTTTCTCAGACATTATCATCACATTGAATAGGAAACTGCATTATCAAATAGAAATTATCTTGTGTTCATTTTTCTGGAGGTTGAAGAGAATCATCTATAATCAAATTTTTATCATCTTCATATATTCAGGTAATATATCCATTGAATCAGTAAATTATCTGTTCCTAATCTATTTTTTGTTGTCATTAATCATGCAATTTGCTTGAATTTCGAATACAAAATATATTATTTTCTCACTGTTCATGA